CGGCTGGCCCCCAGCCCCCCAGCTCCCCCCCCGCCGCAGACCAGCCTGTGGCAGCCCCTGGGACGTTTCGGGGTGGGGGGACACCCCCAGTGCTGCTCTGGGGTTTCACCCCCCCCTTCTACGTGGCAGGGACCTGAGCGAGAACTTCATCCAAGCCGTGCCCAGGAAAGCCTTCCGGGGCGCCACCGACCTCAAGAACCTGTGAGTGCTGCAGCGGGCGCAGGGCCAGGCACCTGCTGCTTTGGGGGCACGGGGGGCCTGTGGGAGCTCTGGGGGTCCAGCCCCAGCCAGGCTGGGGGGTCACTCCCACCCCATCCCCGCTGCACCCGGGCTCGAGGGCGCCCACGGGGGGGAACTGGAGCTTGGGGAGTGGGCGTGAGACCCCGCGCCCTTGTTCCCTGCAGGCAGTTGGACAAGAACCAGATCAGCTGCATCGAGGACGGGGCTTTCCGTGCCCTGCGCGGCCTGGAGGTCCTGTAAGTGGGGCCGGGGCGGGGGGCTCCGAGCTCCGGAGGGAACGGGGTCCGTGCCCGGCTGCTCGCTGCACTGCCAGGACCCTGGGGCTGCACCGTTCCCCCGGGCTGCATGCAGGGGCTGGGTCTCGGCACCCCCATCTTATTGGGGCTGGGGCAGCACTAGGGGGGCGGCCTGGACGAGGGGGGCTCGCTCGGGTCGGAGCCCCCCGCGCTAGGTCCTGACCCGCCAGCCCTCCCCGCAGCACGCTGAACAACAACAACATCACCACCATCCCCGTCTCCAGCTTCAATCACATGCCCAAGCTGCGAACCTTGTGAGTGCCGGGGGCCGGGGGCGCGTGCCCTTCGGCCGTGCGGGGGGTGTTTGCCGTGGGGCGAGGCTGCGGGTCCCGGCCGGCTTGTTGTGGCCATGGGGGGGATGCTCTGCATCCTGGGACCGGGGGGACGCGGGGTCCAGTCCTGACCCCTGTACCCTGCTGGGCTCTGACTGCCCTCTGCACCCCCAGAGAGGCCAGGCTGCCCCCCAGCACAGTGCCGGGGGTGGCCGGGGCCCCTCGGTGCCATGTCTATGGCATGGGGTGGGGGGCTGTGTGGGGAAGGGGGTCCCCAGGCCCAGGCACTGACCTGTCCTTGCCCGCAGCCGCCTGCACTCCAACCAGCTGCTCTGCGACTGCCACCTGGCCTGGCTCTCGCAGTGGCTGCGCCAGCGCCCCACCATCGGGCTCTTCACGCAGTGCGCCGGGCCGCCCGCCCTCCGCGGCCTCAACGTGGCCGAGGTCCAGAAGAACGAGTTCAGCTGCTCGGGTGAGGGGGGGTCCCTGCTCCTGGCTGCCCACCATGCGTGGGGGGTGCTGGCCACGTGCTGCCCCGTCTCACCCGACTGCCGCTTCGCTCCCTCCCCGGGCAGGACAACTGGATGCCGCCCGCGCCCCGATCTGCAGCCTCTCGTCCGGCTCCTGCCCCGCCATGTGCAGCTGCAGCAACGGCATCGTGGACTGCCGCGGCAAGGGGCTGACCGCCATCCCCGCCAACCTGCCCGAGACCATGACCGAGATGTGAGTTGGGCCGTGGGGGCTCAGGTTGGGGCTGGCGCCGGCTCTGGGTTACAGTTGCCCCAGGGGCACGTTCCTGACCCCTGGCTCTAGCTGATGCCCCAGGGGGCACGGGGCTGGATCGGGCCCTGAAGGCCGCGATGCATGCAGGGGGTGGCGCAGGACCCTCCACAAGCAGGATGTCGCTGTGGATTGTGCAGCATTAAACATGTAAATGCAGATAATCTCCTTAGGGAAATCCAATTACAGGCGGGCAGGGACCCGCCGCAGCCACCAGCAGACGGGCAGAAAGCGCCTCCTGCCGGGAGAGCCGGGGGCTGCAGCCCCACAAGCGCGGCCCCCCAGCCAGCCCCCGCCCCATGCCCTGCAGCACCCCTGCTCGGGGCCAGAGCCTCCTTGCATCCACCTTTCTCCCCACAGACGCCTGGAGCTGAACGGCATCAAGTCCATCCCGCCCGGTGCCTTCTCGCCCTACAAGAAGCTGCGGAGGATGTAAGCGGCCGCCCGTGCTGCCAGGACCCGCCCTGGGATTTCCCCTTCCCACCCCCGTGGTCGTGCTCCCCCCACACTGCCCTGGCCTGGCCACTCCAGTGCATCTTGGTCTGGGGTCTCTCAGGGGCAAGGAGGGGACGAGGCCCTGCTCGTGCTGCCAGCGGGTGCCCGGGCTGGGGCCAAGGATGGAGCCGTGACCCTTGCATTTCAGAGACCTGAGCAACAACCAGATCTCGGAGATCGCACCCGACGCCTTCCAGGGGCTGCGCTCGCTGAACTCGCTGTGAGTCCCGCACCGGCCCCGGGGTCTCCACCTGCCCTGCCGGGGGGAGCTGGAGAGGGAAGCCCTCCTGCTGCTGCACGTCAGGCTCTGGGCGAGCCCCTGGACCCGCAGCCCTGCCGGGCCTGTCCCGTGCCTCTCCACACGGAGGATGAGCCGCCCCAGCTGCGTGCAAAGTCTTGGCCAAGTTGAGGCTGCAAAACTCATCTCACTTGTGCCGCAGGGTGAACAGAGGAGGAGCGGGGGCGCCCCCAGACCAGCCAAGAGCCGGACCCTCTGGGACCAGGCTGGGCTGGTGGAGGCGGGGTCCCACTGAGGTCCCGGCAGGGCTGGGGGGGCAGAGCTGGGTGCCCGCGGGTGCAGCCACACTAATGACCGGCTCCGTCCCTCCAGGGTCCTGTACGGGAACAAGATCACCGACCTGCCCAAGGGCGTCTTCGGGGGGCTCTTTGCCCTGCAGCTGCTGTAAGGACGCGCTGGCTGGTCCGGGGCTGAGTGGTGGGGGCGGGGGGCTCCCCGCATCCTGTTGCCGTTCCGCGCGGTCCCCGGCTGGGCTCTCCCCTGTCGGCCGCGGTGCCCCGTGTCAGAGCACGTGGGCTCAAGCCAGGCCGGTGCTTGTCCAGCCTGTGCCGGTGGCCCCCCACTGATGGGGTCCCAGCATCTTCTCAGGGGACCCCCCTAAGGGGCAGGAGCCTCCTACTGCACAGCCGCAGTCTCAGCCCTGCTGCTTGTCCGGCACCCGGAGCAGGCGTTCGCCGTCTGCTTGTAGCAACCCCGTCCCCGCAGGCTGTTGGCACCCCCATGCCACCCCCTCCACCCTCGCGTCCCCGTCTCGGCTGCGAGGTCCCCGCGGTGCTGGTGAGCCCCCGGCACGCCGCGGGCGCTGCGTCTCCCTGCGGGGCCCGGAGCGCGTCCCGGGGGGCCAGGAGCTCACGTTGCCGCGGCCGTCCCCCCCGCAGGCTCCTCAACGCCAACAAGATCAACTGCGTCCGCGCCGACGCCTTCCAGGACCTGCAGAACCTGTCGCTGCTCTCGCTCTACGACAACAAGATCCAGACGCTGGCCAAGGGCACCTTCTCCGCCCTGCGCGCCATCCAGACCCTGTGAGCGCAGGGCACCGCGGGCCCGGGCGGGGGTGCTTCCCGCCAGACCCCCGGTCGGCGGCACCCAGGCCGGGCCCGGTCGTGGCACCAGGCGGGAGGGGAGGGGGCTGCCCCTGGACCCCTCTCGGGTTATGAGGCTGGCTCCGTCCCGGGGGTCCCCAGGGCAGGGTGAAGTGTGGGGGGAAGCGGGGGGCTCCCTTGCACCCTTCTTGCCCCCCAGATCCCACCGGGCCGGGGCAAGGGGAGCAGGGCTGGCACTCACCCCTCTGCCCCCCAGGCACCTGGCCCAGAACCCCTTCATCTGCGACTGCAACCTGAAGTGGCTGGCCGACTTCCTGCGCAGCAACCCTGTGGAGACGAGTGGCGCGCGCTGCACCAGCCCCCGGCGCCTGGCCAACAAGCGCATCGGCCAGATCAAGAGCAAGAAGTTTCGCTGCTCGGGTCAGTGCCCGGCCCCTCGCCCGCCCCGCGGGCTCCCGGCCCAGCCCCGGTGCCCCGGGGAGGCCGCAGCCTCAGTCCGAGGATCCCGGGGCCCAGCTGTGGGAGGCTGAGCGAGGCCCAGGTCAGAGGTGGGGGGAAACTGAGGCAGGACCAGTCCAGGCTCCCCGTGTCCGCTCACCGGCGTTCGCCTGTTTCTCTCCGCAGCCAAGGAGCAGTATTTCATCCCAGGTGAGAGGACCCGCACGGTGCCGTGGCGCGGGGTGTCTGCAGGGACCTGTCTTGGGGGAGAGGGGACTGTTTTCTGTGTGCCCCCCTGGCATCCTGGAGAGGCAGACCCCCTCCCGTGAGCCTGGCACGGGGCGTCTCCCCGGCCCTGCCCCTCCCTGAGAGCCAGGGGCTCACAGCCGGCCCCGCGCAGGCACGGAGGATTACCAGCTCAACAGCGAGTGCAACAGCGACGTGGTGTGCCCGCCCAAGTGCCGCTGCGACGCCGGCGTGGTGGAGTGCTCCAACCTGAAGCTCACCAAGATCCCCGACCGCATCCCGCAGTCCACGGCCGAGCTGTAAGCCCCCTGCCCGCCCCCACCCTGGCGCCCCATCAGAGCCATATTCTCCGCGTCCCCGAGTTGCCTTGCAGGGGCTGCCCGTGGCGCTCTCCCGGCCGGCGGGAGCTGAGTGCCCGCCTGCGCCGGCTGGGGAGGGAGGGGCATCCAAGGCTTGCCCCCCCAGTTCTGCCCGTCCCCGCACACTGCTGGAGCCACGAGGCTGGGTGCGTGCCAGAGCCCGGTGCAGCACCGCCCCGCAGCGCCCCTGGGCACAGCTCCAGCCCTGCCCTCCTCCTCCAGGCGCCTGAACAACAACGAGATCTCCATCCTGGAGGCCACGGGCATCTTCAAGAAGCTCCCACACCTGAAGAAGATGTGAGTGTGCGCAGGGTGGGGGCCAGTCGGCGCGGGGGCAGGGGCTCCCACGGACCCGGGGCAGTGCTGCAGCCCGCTGGTTGAAGTCAGGATGGTGCAATTCACTGCCATGCGCGGAGCAGGGCACAGGGGTCTGGAGGGGAAGTTGCTCCCTGGGCTCTGGCCACAAAGCAGCCACGGACTGGGGGGGTCATGGAGAGCCCTTCCTGGGTGCCCACCGGCCCGGGGTGGACATGGGCAGCCCCCGGCACCATTGGCACCCTTTCCACAGATGGGGGGACACACCTAGGGACAGACGTGGGACGTGAGGGGATGCGTTGCCAGGGCTCGGGCTGGGGGGCGAGATGCCTCCGGCGCCTGCCCTGGGGTCCCAGCCGCCCCTGCCCTCCCCACAGCAACCTGAGCAACAACAAGGTGACGGAGATCGAGGACGGGACCTTCGAGGGGGCGGCGTCTGTCAGCGAGCTCCATCTCACCGTCAACCAGCTGGAGTCAGTGCGCAGCGCCATGTTTCGGGGCCTGGATGGGCTCAGGACCCTGTGAGTGCCCCAGACCCAGGCGGGTGTTATCCAGCCGTACGGACGCATTGCTCAGAGGAGCAGGGCGAGGACGCTGCCTGCTGTTGCTCCTGTCGAGGAAGGGAGGGGGTCGCAGTTTGCTGGTCCGAGCTGCGGGCCTATTGCCACCGGAGTGGGTGGGGAGGGGACAGGTACGTCCCAGCACCTTCCAGGGCTGCTCAGGGGTGCACCCAGGCTCCTTCCCCAGCCCCTGGGCCGAGGCTTGCTGGCGCGTGGGCTGAGCTGGGCCGGCATGGAGCAGGATGGGGTGCTGTCCCTAACCCTACCCCTACCCCTACCCCCCCAGGATGCTGAGGAACAACCGGATCAGCTGCATCCACAACGACAGCTTCACGGGGCTGCGCAGCGTGCGCCTGCTCTCGCTCTACGACAACCAGATCAGCACCATCACGCCCGGCGCCTTCGACACCCTGCAGTCGCTCTCGACCCTGTGAGCCGAGGCAGGGGCGGGCGGGGGTCACCGTGTGGGGCTAGACACGTGCGAGGGTGGGGGGCTTGCAGTCCTGCTCCCCTGCTTGCTTCCTCTCTGCCCGCCTGGTAGAGCTGGAGACGGGCACTGGGGTGTTGGGAGCTATGGGGGGGCTTCTCATTGTGGAGGGTGAGGCCAGGCCGGCCTAGACGAGAGACGCTGGAGGGGGGGACAGGAGGTTTCCAAAATACTCCGTGGAGAAGAGAAAGTAACTCGGGATTTATTCCTGACTGTCTCTCACTGGATAAAAACGGGGGGCACCGCATGACACGAGCGGGCTGGCAGTTTAAAATGAACACGAGGACGTCGTTTCCCCTGGTTTGGGACTAAAGGGGGAGCTTGTGGCCCCCAGCTGCGGTGGGAGCTGAGCGCAGCCAGATTCGCACGGGGTCGGACACGTGCTTGGGGGAAAGGGGCATGGGTCACTACTGAGCGGGGCGCAGGGCTCGGCCTCTGCATCGGACCTGCCTGGACCTCAATGCTGCAAGGGGCAGAGGAGCAGGGGAACCTGCTGGGACCCAGGTCCCTCTCCCGCCAGCCACCGCTCTCTGCCTTGTGCGACACCAGGGCCTGGGGAGGACGGACCCGGGTCTGACCCCACACGGGGCAGCCCCGATGCTCTGAAGCCCGTCTCCGCTGCCTCTGGGCTCTGTGCATTGGTGATGCTGGGTGCAGGGCCTGCTCGCTCCCCTGGGCGCGTGCGCTCGAGTGTCTGGGGTCCAGCCCACGTCACCCCCACACCCGCCGTCCCCGCAGGAACCTCCTGGCCAACCCCTTCAACTGCAACTGCCAGCTGGCCTGGCTCGGAGACTGGCTGCGCAAGAGGAAGATCGTGACCGGGAACCCGCGGTGCCAGAACCCTGACTTCCTGCGCCAGATCCCGCTGCAGGACGTCGCCTTCCCCGACTTCCGCTGCGAGGAAGGTAGCGCGGCCCCAGTGCCATCCAGCCGCAGCCCCCTGCCCTCCTCCGTGCCCGGTGCCACGGCCCATGCGCCCTGCCGGACGGCTCCACGGCACGCGGCGGGACGTGGTCTGGGGGCGGGGGCGTGGAGCTGCGTGCACGGCAGGGTTTGGCGCACCTGCCTGTGGCCGCCCCGGTTCGGCTCTGGGGGGGAACAAGCCAGGGTAAAAGCCCCTGTCCCTGGGCGCCTGGAACCAGGCTTGTCTACACTGCAGTGTTCATCTGGATTGAGAGCGCAGGTGCATCTGGTGTGCTGGATTGGGCCCGGCCGTGGGGGAGAGCTGAGTGTGTGTGTGCGCACATTGCACGTGTGTGTCAAGGGCACTAAATCACTTTGATTCAGCCGTGTAAGCCCATGCACGCCCTTCCAGCCGGGCCCTTCTGGGGAGGTGCAGCCACGGGCCGGCTCCAGCCAGGCTGCCATTGCGGGGTCCGCTGGGGGGGCAGGACGGAGCAGCGGACGGAGCGGGGGGTCGCCCCGGAGTCTGCAGGGATCCCGCTTGCCCAGGGCTTTGCCTCTCCCCCAGAACAGAGCAGAGGTGTCTGCTGCCTCCCAGGCTCCTGGGCTCTGCTGGCTGCCCCGGGGGGCCGAGAAGGGATGTTTCCCCCTTGCTGCAGGTGTCAAGGTTTTCCCGCTCCCCCCGAAGCGCTGGTGCTGCTGCAGCCTGGGCTGGGGATGGGGCTGGGCTGCGCCAATGCTCCTGCTGGCACCGACCCCGCAGGGTCTTGCCCCTGCACTTGGGCTCAGCCCCGCCCTGCACTGGGGCAGGAAGGGGTTTTCCCCCTGCTCAGACTGGTTGCACTGGGGAGATTTGCTTTCCTCTGCAGCGGGGGCACAGCCTGGGTCTGGGGTCTCTCAAGTGCATCTAACCCCCTGGCAATGGCAGGACATGCCGGGCAGGGCTGGGGCTCTGCGTGTCTCTGGGCAATGGACCTTGCAGCTGTGCCCAGCGGTGTTGGGAACAGATCAGGAGGCTTTGGACAGGGGCTGGAGCAGTCGTGACCTTGGGAGGGCCCGAGGCTCCCCCAGGACAGCCTCTCCTAGCGCCGAGGTCTCCTCCCGGCCGCAGCTCTGCTCACCCCGTTCCTCCCCTCGCAGGCCAGGAGGAGCCAGGCTGCATCCCACGGCCCCAGTGCCCGCAGGAATGCACCTGCCTGGACACCGTCGTCCGCTGCAGCAACAAGCACCTGAAGGCGCTGCCCAAGGGCATTCCCAAGAACGTCACCGAGCTGTGAGTACCCTGGGGGTGTCTCCCCCGCAGCCGCGGGAAAGCAGGACCCCAGCCCGGCTGGAAGGAAATGGGTGAGAAGGAGGGTCCCTGCGCCGGCAGCTGCTCCCATGGGGGCACGAGCTGAGCCTGGCAAGGCCGAGCCCAGCTAAGAAGACCCGGTTTGCATTTGTCTGGGAAGGAGGGAGGTGAAGCGGCAGGGCCCCTGCGCCCCTGTGCTTGCGGTGCTGTTGGCTGGGGCGTGGAGCAGGCCCCCGTGGCTGGGGCAGATGGGCCTCGTCTGCCAGGCACCCCCGGACGCCGGCGCCTTTGGGCAGGGAGGTCGCGGGCTGCCTCTACATGTTGAAGCCGGCTCCAGACCCGGGGCTGCACAGACAGGAATGGCCACCCGCGGCGCAGGGATGTTTTCACAGCTGCCCCATTGCAGCTGCTCCCTGGGCCGGAGGGGCCCCAGGTGGGGGGCCGCGATGGCTTCAAGCAGGAGGGCTGGGGGTGCTCCTGTGTCCCCTCCTCTTGCCGTGCCGGGTCTCTGGCAGCCGGGGGATGCCTTAGGCCGAGTCCCCAGCTGCGTCGGGGCGCAGGGACCCCAGTGGGCCGCACCCCCCACCACGGCACATGGCCCGGCCCCGCAGTACCGCCCCGTCGAGGCCTCGGCCATGCAGGGGCAGCCCGATGCAGGCAGCGTTTTGGGGGGCGACAGCTCCAGGAAGCCAGACTGCGGCTATGGGGAGGGGGTGCTGGGCCGGAGCCGAGTCACTGCGCTGGGCCTGGGGGCTCTGCTCAGGGACTTGCACATGCCCCCAGTGTCTGCACATCCCCCCGTGGGTGTGCACACACGCACACACACACAGAGCATGCATATACACACATGCACCCTCTGCGAGACCCGCGGGTGCGACCGTGACCCCAGAGGGCAGAGACGCGGCCTGCGCTGCGGTGGCCGAGCTCTGCCCGGCTCGGGCTCTGTGGCCTCCCAGGGCAGGGCCTGGCCCCTTTGTACCGTGGCTGCCCCCGTCGTGCCGCTGCCCCTCACTGCTCGTCTCCCGCAGGTACCTGGATGGGAACCAGTTCACGCAGGTGCCAGGGCAGCTGTCCTCCTTCAAGTACCTGCAGCTGGTGTGAGTACCTGGGCCTGGGGCCCCATGGCTCCAGCCCGGGGCTCAGGTGTGGAGGGGCCAGGCGGGCTGAGAACCCATGGCCCCTGCAGCGCTAAGCCTGGGGACCCAGCCCGCTGATGCAGGGGTTTGCGGTGTGAGCTGGGCTGGCTCTGTCTGGGGTGATCGCTGCGCTGCACCCCCGCTGCATGGCCCTGGGGAGGAGAGAGCGGGGGGAGCCTGGCACGGGGGCAGGGGTGGCGCAGGCTCTGCGGGGACATGTGCTGCTGGCTGGGTGGCACATGGGCACCCAGGCTCCCTCCTTCCCTGACCCCAGTCCAGCTTCACCCCCAACATTCGAGCCTGGGGGGGGTCGGTACCCTGCTCCCACGCCTTCAGCCCCAGTAGTTGCGGCTCACGGAGACCCTGGACCCCTGTGCAAGCAGTGCCTGTGTGGGGGTTGCACACTCTGCCTTCACCCCCATTGGCACTGGTCTGAGCCGTGCCAGACCCTGGGGCAGGTGTGCGGACCTGGCAAGGGGTGCTGCCCAGCACGGGGCCCTGCTCCCTGCCCACCCGAGCACCGTGAGGGGTAGCAGGGCCCTTGCCATCCCCATGGGCCCTGTGCTGGGAGGGGCGCAGGGCGCCCTGGAACCGGGCTGGAGAAGGGGGTGCAGCCCCCACTCCTGCCGTATCTCAGGGCCCGGGGAGGCTGGCTACGGGCAGGGGCTGGACCGGCTGAGACGGGAGCTCTGCGCTGAAACCCCCCTTGCGTTTTCCAGCGACCTGAGCAACAACAAGATCAGCTCCTTGAGCAACTCGTCCTTCACCAACATGAGCCAGCTCACCACCCTGTGCGTGCCTGTGCTCGGGACCCGGGGGGCTGGCGGGATGGGGATGGGGGCCTCGCGCGTCTCAGGGCACGCTCTAGTGGGAGCACAGCAGCTCAGGCCCTGGCAGGGGTGTCGGAGGCGTTGAAGGGTGGCGGACGGGCAGGGGTCCTGGCGGGGTGAATGGTGCC